AAGCATTCCTAAATGCCGTCACCAAATAACTATATCGGGGAACTTTTGGCTCAAGATATTTGAAAGAAAGTGACAACCATTGACGTGATTAGTAGTCCCTACAAACATGCTGAACGCACTCGGCTTACCTGTACAGCTGGTTCCATCTCCTAAAAAACCAGGTTTGCAATGACATTCAAAATGGGTTCTGGTATTGTTGCAAAAGGCATCTTCATGGCAGTTGTCAAGATTCAAGTTACATTCGTCAAAATCTGAAAGCAAATTAAGATAATTTGAAGCAACAATAAATACATATGAGTATCTACCATTTCCGCATAAAAATTTGTTTGAAAAAGGAAATAAATTATTATATTTGGCAAAAAGATAATTCTCCCAAACCTAGCTTGTCACAATTCAGAATTGGACGAGTAAACGATATTTACACATTCACACACACCCTTAAGTTTTCAGAACATATTTTCTTTAGAATGAAGCTTGTGTAATATATAATAAAAACTCACTAATACTCACTAGTCATATTAGTCCACTAGTCATGTTTATGGTGCGAAAAGGCTACTCCCATCCAGCGGGTCCCAAGGTTGCGATAGGGGAATGGCGCCTAATTTTAGGGGTTAGCTGCGAATTACTAAAAAGCAGTCCCGGACAAAACACGGTTTGGCCTTTGGCAAGGCATAGTATCCGGAAGCTACCTTAACCAGGATCACAGTGAAACCAAGGGATGCAGCTTGCTAGATGTGTGGCTTAGCGGAAGAGTCACCTCGACCAGCGATAATACACACATGATGCCGGGCGCGAACCTCTACTATGGTCAAAGGCCAGGATCAACTCATTCCTGAAGCGAATTACTGCTGCCATTAGTGCAGTGGTGACCCTTCTGAGAATTAGCCATCGAAAGACAATACGAAGAAGCAACCTCGAAGCACTAGGGTTAAAGTCCCCATCATCCTAAGCCAAGCATTCAACGAACCCAGAGCAATGAGGGTAATGACGCCACATTTTTAAAACCCACGGAACAAAATGTGGCTGATAGCAGCGAGGATAAACAAGGCAACCAGGAACAAGTAGCGGAAATATTAACAAAGCCCCGCATGCTCGACCATAAAAACCCTGACTACGTTGCACCATACAATATAAGGACAATAAGACTGAGGATTACTAGCAGATGGAATTGGTTAAAATATTTAGAGATTCAAACTCTCTGGTACTCGGTATAACTCAACACAAAATAATACACAAGGATGAGGAAATATGCAATAAATACATCGAAGGGTCCTCATTGATCACGCAATCCGCTCGGAGAAATGATCAGAATGATCAGCTGCTTGTGGTGGACTCGGAATATTGTTAGAAAAAAAGAGCTGAAAATGCTCTTGCTGAGGTGAAAAGCTACAAAGAATGGATTTTTATAGCCAAATTCAGTGGCAACCTCACCACCGTGGTAATAGTAAACTATTTTCTTCCAACAAGGCTCAGAAGAGGCTGAAGAACATTACACAAAAATGATCGATGCAATAAAAGAAACGCCTAAACCAGACCTTCCCCTGGTCATGGGAGATTTCAACTCGCATATTGGAAAGGAAGACGCAAAGTTTCCGTACCACGAAAGGACTTAAAGAAAAACGGACAGCTGCTATTAGATCTGGCGCAGGAATGCAATATGGTTATTTTTGATACCAAGTTTCAAAAGAAAACAGGTAAACTTTAGTCCTACCTTGACAGGGCAGAAGACCCAATTTGAATACATTCTGATTAACAAAAAATGTCCAACTCAGCCAAGGACATCGAAATGCACAACACGTACTCCAGGATCGGATCTGATCACAGAGCACTGAGGGCTAAAGTTAAAATTAGTTAACGTACTTGCAAAGCCCACAACGGAAACCACAGTACGACTGGTCTTCCCTCAGATCAGACGAGAACCTGCAACTAACATACTCGGTCACTGTGAAAAACAGATACGCGGCACTGTGTGAAGACACGCAATGGGCGACCAAGAAATGTGAAAAACTTATCCAGAGAAACAAAGAGGTAACAGACAAGCTTATCCCCAAAAAGAGTAGGAACAACAGAAGGAAGTTGTAAGAAGACCCACGTTTAGATACAGTCAGATAGAAGAAGCAGGAAGCATTCGTTAGCTATCAAGAAGATCCAACAGCAGAGATAAAATCGAATTACAAGTCCAAAAACAATCCTTACATTTAGCATACAACCAATGTATGGAGGAGGAACTGGAAGAGCAAATGCGGCGTCTGGAAACACTTGAAATGGAATCCAAACATGGCGATGGTTAGAAAGTAGTCAACGAGATAAGCGGTAGAAACAGCAGCAAAAAAGGAATCTTGGAGGGTGGAAGCAAGGAAGAGCGGGTTAAGATAAGAACTGACTTTATCATCTTTAGACACTGCTTGGTGCTGAGACAATGAGAACCAAGAAATAAAAATTGTGATCGAGGGTTTGACTATCCAACTGGCCCATTCAGCATTTCTGAATTAGAAAGAGCAAAATCTAAGATACTTGAAGGAAAAGCAGCCGGACCTTATAACATCTCGCCAGAAGTCATTAAGTGATGTGATCTGGACGATATCATACTGGACATTGCCAAAAGCCTCCTCATCAAAGGTGAAAAACCAAACCAATGGTCTAGGAGCAATATTATCCCTGTCCCCAAAAGGGGGGACCTCAGCAACGGAAGTAACTATCGAGGAATCTCGCTCAATGTCATCATAGCTAAACTTACCAACAGTCTTGTACTAAATAGAATCCAACCAGTTTTAGATCTAACATCTGCGAACGAACCAGAGTGGCTTCAGACTAGGCAGATCAAACAACCTCCCAGATATTCTCCGAAGACTTATTGAGGGAGTCAAGTCCGACGACCTACCACTGTAATTCTATTTCTCGATTTTCGAAAGGCTTTCGACCGCAGGCATCGTTGTACAATGCTGCTTATCCTCAAGGAATACGGCATACCTAAGGAACTTGTGAACGCAATTGTTAAGATGAATGAGAACACTCAGGCACTTGTCCTGTCGCCAGATGGAGAAACAGACTGGTTTGAAATCACAGCGGTTGTATTGCAGGGGGACGCTCTTGCCTCACACCTCTTTACAATCGTCCTTGACTATACGATGAGGCAAGCATTAAAAGCGCATGGCAATCCCGCCGGCTTTACGGTTGAACCAAGAAAGAGCAGACGACACCCACCGATCATAGTTAACAATCTGGACTTTGCCGACGACATAGCGTTGATACTCAACCACATTGATGAAGCACAGAGTCGCTACTAAGTATAGAGAATGCAGCTGCAAAATTTCGGACTATATCTATTAATTAAGACCAAAAGCGATGGCTCAATAAGAATAGCGACCGATTTTAAGTATCTAGGTCCTTGGATTGATGGTTCTGGAAACATGAAAACGAGAAAAGCTCAAGCCTGGGTGGCGAGCAATAAGTTGGGCAAAATTTGGAAATCTAACCTGTGTATGGGGAAAGGAGGTTAGACAAATCCTGGAAACAGTAGAAAGTGTATTCCTTAATGGCAGCGAAACATGGACTCTAACCAAAAGTACAGAAAAGCAAATTGATGGTGCCTATACCAGAATGCTTCGCACAGCACTAAACGTTTCTTGGAGGGACCACATTACAAATAAAGATCTGTACGGTCACCTCCAAAAGTTTCTAGCAAGATCAGGGAAAGAAGAATGAGAGTAGCTGGGCATTGTGTTAGATACAAAAAGGGGGAGGCATCGAAGCTTGTGTTGTGGCAGCCACAACACGGACAAACTTAGAGAGGAAGACCTAAGACCACGTACATGCACACTTTGCTTGAAGACACCGTGTTCCCCATTATCGGAGAACTCAGAACGGCAATGCTAGACCAAAGTAACTGAGGAGGGAGAATCCATGTCGTCCGAGCTGGTGCTCAACCGAACTAGTCCAATTGGCATAACGAATTTAATCACACGTAAGGACCTTTTTACCCGGTAAAACTAAGCGATCTGAAAAGTCCTGGGAGGACATTCATGCCCGCCCTTAGGGCAAATACGGGGTTGAATGAGTGAAAAAATTGACGCTGATTAGGATCAACATTTTATACAAAGAATACTAATAAACAAGAAATCGTAAATAAAACGGGGCTTTCATTTGCAAGGTCAGAAATTTTTCCAAAATAAAATAATTTTTTTAACCGTGGAGAAAACACCATATCAAGATAAACTGTTACAGCGAGTTTCAAGAATGAGTTATGGAAATGAGTCAAAAACAATTAAATTAAATCAAAGGTAACAAAAAGTGGTTTCAAATATTATCATTATTTAACACGTTTTACTGAAGACTTAAGAAGAATTACATTACCTTTATACCAAGTGCATGTTTCGCCATCGCCAGTGTAACTCAGCATACATGTGCATTTGTAAGACCCCTCCGTGTTATTACATGTTGCATTCGAATGACAAGGCTGGTCATCGCATTCATTCTGATCTGAAAGAAATGCATTATATTTATTTTCAGTTAGGAATATTTGCAGGCCTGTTTTCATCAGCGAGGGAATAAAAAGCAGATGTAGAAAAATTCCAAGATGATTTAGACATAAAGGTGCATGATGCCTTAATAGTATCAACAAAAGCTTAGGAAGTGCTAGCGTTTCAAAGCACTGGTGTTTTAATAAAGTTTACCTTAGTTCACACTGACCTCTTCAGTTACACACGAGTCTCAGGTGTAGATAATCCATTTTAACAATTTACTCTCATCTAGATAATCTGAGCTATGAAAGCAAATTTCTAAATATAACTTAGAGGTCTAACCTCGAAGCCAACCCTTGCATTATTATTTAAGCTTTCCTGCTTCCGCCAAGGAGATGCAGCCTTTTTGAGGTATTTTTTAGGTGTCGAGGTGATGTTTGTAAAAGTACCAAACGTTATTTTGTCGAAATGCTTCCTTTTAATTTCAAAAGGGATGAAGAGTACCGAATTAGCAACGAATTTTTTGTATGTTTTTTGACCTCTGCTGCACCATATCAGATATCTGTCGCTAGATTGTAATTTTTCTACATTTAGTTTGATTTTGGTTTTACCTTTTGCCTGATATGTGATATCAAACCCTTCAAACTCTTTATCACCGTCTGTATTAAAGGTAATCGTCACTGGCCCGGTAGCCTCTATGATAGGGGGCAGTACGTCGCCACAAACCCTGGTTTTTTCCGGAGAACTTGTGGAATTTCCTTCTTTCACTGATAGCCAGTCGAATGAACATCCTTCGTTCTTTTCTAACATAAATTTGTGGAAAGTCAGGGTAGTGTGATAGCCGTAGCCAACATCAATGAGCCATACGCACGCTAGTCTTGTTGGGTAGTTATCGGGATGGTTTGGAGACATAATGGTTCCCGACAAAGCCGTCAGCCTTACATCACAAATACCTTTTTTAGTAAAAAAAAAAAAAACAATAAAAAAAGTTGATATTGATTGTTTTTACCATAGGCTATTACTGTTGTTAACCTCCTTATTACATAATGTTGATATTGTTCAATACGAAATGAATAGATCATAGTTCAAGATTTCAGTTTTTCATTTTGACAGTTCATTACTTATAGGAGCCTTCTGTAAGCAGTTATCTCTTAAATTTGTATCATTCATTTGTATAGTTTATTTTTAATATATAGTTTAGCTGTCAGGGTCCTTTTGCGTCTGACCAGCAATTTTTATTACAAGCGTCGTTTTTAATTGCAAACGAATCAACTTTCATAACGATTAGTCTTAAGAAAAAGAGAGAAGCACTCGACTTCGTTCGTACTCTAGCCCCTTTCTGTTTTATTTGCTTTACAACAGAACATACATACATACTTTATTTGAGTATGTTAGAAGGGGCAGCCAGAGACTGATGTGGACCTACTAAAGTACAAATAATTAAAAAATAATAATAATAGATAAATAAATATAAATAACGGGCCACATGAAAGGCTTCTTTATTTGTTAACTATTGTCCATAACTAATCATATAACTGCTGGCTTTAAAAAAACATTGCAAGCGTAGTTACACTTTATATATACTGAAACCTGGAGCGTTAGAACGCCAGAATACTACTGAACACCAGTAAAGATGGAGTCTATTAGAAAATACAACACACAAAAAAAAAGCAACGAAGAATCACTCAGGCCAAAAAGTCTGGTTATGTTTCCTGCATCCTAGGTGTCCTCCATAAACCAAAAGTTGATCACAGGACTTTAAAAGGGTATCGTATAATAGCTGTGGCAAAACGTTTGGTCAATAGTCTGGTCAATAACTAATGACAGACCAGCGCCAAAGTGTTGGCAAAGTTTGCAAGGCAAGTTCCGAGACTCAGCCCTGATTCGATCTACAACTCAGAAAACTTACAAAAATAACACGCAAGAGTTCCTAATAACGCGATGCCTTATGTATTGTCACATATACTTGGGAGGAGATGGTCAGATCAGTGCAATCCGAGAAGGTGCACAACAGCAACCTCTCCTAAATAAGAGACCAAATTCTTAAGACATGAAACCGAGACCCGAAGCCTCTCTGCTCACTGCAACAAGAAAACAGCAAACAGAGCTCACTCAAAATGGGACTCCACCAACAATAATAATTGTCTCAATAACTGTACTATCACGTAAAAGAACAAGAAGTATAAATCACCTTACGCCTCGCTCATTACTTAGCAAAGCAGAGTTACAATCCGAACGCTACATTGTGATGCGCTGTTACACCAAGAAAACGCGGAGCTTAGTTTAAATGAACGAAAATGTCTTTTAATGAAAATGTTTGCCATTTTGTTCCAGTAGCTATATTTGGGGACTTTGATCCAGTCTTCGTCATTCTTACAGCCGAAGTTTTAGCTCACTGACGAAATGACACTTGCAGTCGTCATAAGCACTAAATTAATACTAAGTTGGCGGGTCTTCCGAATACTCATAGAATGCCAGAAAGCAAGAGCAAGTAGTCTTGTTGTTTTAGTCAAGACCATGCCAGAGGACTTTCTATATTTTGCTTTTTCGGCAAACAGAATTAAGCACCCCTTTGAACAACAATGAGAAATTCCGGGATTTGGTATATATCAGCGCTCGGACGTTCCAGGTTTCGGTTTACGTAGTTCAGTAGTTTAATACCTTTGTGCTTTGCTAAAAAGCCTCTATTTTCCTTGTCATTGTCTGTATGCATATGCACAAGTAGCATGTTACTGCTGGAAACAAATGTTTTCTCATCAACATCTTGCAAGCTGAAGCCACACAATCGCGCTATTACGACGGTGCTTCCATACGAACCATCCAAGATTTCAATGTAATCATTCGGACAGTTGGCATCCTTTTCCGCCTATTTTAAATCAAAATTAGGACGTCTATTAGTAATCTATTACTGAGCCATTTCTGAATTAGTAATCTGAATCCAGTGCTGTGCGTAACATATATCCTCGGTCGGGAGACGTAATGGCTCCTTGTAAACAGAGAGTAAGTCATAGTATGAATATCTTCTAACTTATACCATGCA